ACCCTGCTCCAACACACTTACCTGTAGGTTTCAAACAAGCCTGAAGGACTCAATTAGTTTGATCAGGTGTGTTTAATTAGGGTTGGAACTAAACTGTGCAGAGCTGCGGCCCTTTTGGAACTGAGTTTGACACCTGTGATCTAGAAGAATGAGAAGCCTGATGTTTCTGTTCTCTGATTATTTGCCAGTGTTTATTTACATTTTGTTTTACCATATAGCTCATTATATGTTTTTGTCTTTTTGTGATATTGTGCATGTCTTTATTTTTCAGCTACAGCTGCAATCGAATCAGCACATTCAGTCTGCTGTCTAGACTTCGCTGATGTAATGTTGCCTCTGAAGAAAATAGTTTCTTACTTCTGGACCTGCAGTCACTGTCCCATAAAAGCCATTGTGTGAGTCTCATCTTAAACATTATTCCAAACAGTAAAGCCAACTGGAATCAGAGACTTTCTCTTAAAATTGTGTCATTTCTTGTTTTATTATTTTCACATTAGGTTTAAGACAATTTCAGGGAGAGACATCTGTGTAGATCCTGAGAGCACCTGGGTGCCAAGCCATGTCGCTAAACTGGACTAAAGATCATCTCCTGTATTCACATCTGCTACAACATTTCTTGCATTCATAACTACAACATAATCTTCTGCATCCGCATTTGCTACAAAAGAAACTCTTTTATCCACATCACATTCTCATTTGAAAGGCATTATGTAAGTTTTAACTTTAAAATATTCTCATTTTGAAATTTGTGACAAACGATGGCAAAAGGGATTTTGTTTAAGCCAGCAATGAGCTAAAATCAGAACGTAAACTTTTCTGTCTTTAGGGTCACAACACCTTGGACTAAATTTTGTGTAAAAGCAGTCAAGGGCTGGATACACCTCTGATGGAAAAACTAATGTAAATGGAACATCTTAAAATTTCATCAATAGTTTTTATTGATTATTTGATGAAATATATATATATATATATATATATATATATATATATATATATATATATATATATATATATAGTAGATGTCATAATTATTAGGCTCCCTGAACTATAAGCCCCCCAAACCCAACCCCCCCCCCCCCCTTTTATTTTTTCCCCAATTTCTGTATAACAGAGAGAAGATTTCTTCAACACGTTTCTAAACATAATAGTTTTAATAACTCATTTCTAATCACTTATTTATTTTATATTTGCCATGATGACAGTAAATAATATTTGACAAGATATTTTTAAGACACTTCTATACAGTTTAAAGTGACATTTAAAGGCTTAATTAGGTTAATAACAGTAGGTTAACTGGGCTGGTTAGGGTAATCAGACAAGTTAACAATGGTTTGTACTATAGACTGGCGAGAAAAATATAGCTTAAAGAGGCTAATAATTTTGACCTTTAAACTGTTATATATATATATATATATATATATATATATATATATATATATATATATATAAAAGCTGCTTTTAATCTAGCCGAAATAGAACAAATAAGAGTTTCTCCAGAAGAAAAATGAACATTAACGTTGTTAAAAATTATTTGGGAAATATTTAAATAAGAAAAAAAAGTTAAGGGGGGCTAATAATTCTGACTTCAGAATTATATATACAAATATATTAAAGTAACACAATATGCTATATTAATGATATATTAAAAATGAATGAATAAATAAATACTAATATTGTAAAATAACATCTGTAATCAAGTACACTGTAACAACTTAATGAAGAAAAAAGACAAACATTTTAGACGTCTGTTGTTTGTACATTCAAAGACAAAGTTTGAAAGATACAGTGCAGCTCAATTGATTTATTGGTTTATATAATAAAAATAAATGATTTGGAATGTTTGTATTTGAGACAAAATTGTTGTTGAAGTTTAAAGAATGAAGTTTGTTGGTTCCCCCTTCAGGTTTATGACAAGAACAGGAAAAGAGATCTGTGTAAATCCAGAGAACGCCTGGTTTAAAACCCTTGTTGCTAAACTAGAAAGCAGAATGAAAACCTAAAAGAAGCTAGAAAGTATCTTTTTGAACTTTACAGCATACATTTAACCCATATAATATTACCTATGTGTGTGATATGTGTGTGTATATACAGCAAAAATTAAATATTGTCAACTTATTTTATGTGAATGATTGACTTGCTTATAAACATTCTGAACTTTTAAATAAACTTTTAATTAATTAAAGCGTGTTTGTTATTATTCTTAAATATCTTAAGGAGGTTAATGTTTTAGGTGTGTTATCTAAACCTATATTTAAATATAAATATTTATAAAAACCATGAGAATAGAAAATAAAACCATGTAAAGCCTCTTGTCCACTGCTGCAGAAATAAACCACAAATCTGTAACTGTAAAATAGATGTTTTCTGAAATATCTGTAAATTTCACAGTAATTTTTTTTTCAGTTTTCAGATTGTCAGCAAAATGAAACTTTTTATCATTAATTTTCCACTAGACATAAAAAGTGGTTTGACTTGTACTTTCACAGTAAACAAGCAATCAAAACAAGAAGTACTGTGTTCCAGTAACATTAAGCCTTTATTTCAGACATTTGAGATTGAGATTTAAGTTTTTCCTGGTGTTTTTAAGAAATACAAGCTTCAAATCAATCCAGATGTGCTGAATCATTCATAAAATAACTCGGATGATCTTTTCAAGTTCATCCTTTTTATCTGTTATATAATATACCCAGATAGTTACAAATATGAATTCAAATGACCACTGACTGTGCAAATACTCAAACACTGTAAAATATAGCTGTTAATTTACAGTTTGCGTATTTTGTGATTCACAAGGGTTTTCTGTTTATTTATGGTTGTGAATTGCATAATGGGTACTTGATCTTTGTCCACTTTTGATGTTGAAAATCCAACTCTACAGTTTAACAAAGTGACTTTTATTGACAATTTTAGTAACTTAAAAATAGTATATCTGCGGGCCCGGGGTCTTAAAAGGTCTTAAAATGTCTTAAATCTCAAAAGCTGAATTTTAGGTTATAGGTCTTAAACCTTTGTTAACAGGCATTAATTTTCTTTTGTTCATGTATAGCTACCCAATCTGACTGTTAACACCCATACAATCACCAACAATCCCAACTTTTTATTTAAAAACAGCATTTAATTACTTTCCTTACTGTAACTTTTGTTGAAAAATTTATTTACTGCTGAAGATAATGACCTGACCTATATTTATTATTTAAAATATTTATAGAATATTTATTATTATTAAATGTATGAAATTATGATATTTTTAAAAATCTTTTCCAACCTGAATATTCAAGAAAAAAAACTTTATTTGTTCATTTAGCCATGTATAAGTCTAAAATTTCATTCATAATGATCTTAATGATGACTTCAAAAGTCTTAAATTTACCCTGGTGAAACCTGCAGAAACCCTGCATATGTATAAAAGTTATATATAGAAAAATAAGTGTAAAATACAACACCAACACAGACAATAAATCACTTTAAACTATTCAAAATGTAAATAAAAGTAACTTTTTTGAACTTCAATTTCGAGGTTAAAAGTTATTGGAAAAAAGATCAAGGTCTCATAATGCAATTCAAATGCATAAATAAATGGTGGGAAATAAAAACACAAATCAAAAAATGCAGAAAACTGCTGATTTATGGATATGTTTTACAGTGTAGTAATATCGACATAATGTATGAATGAAAAACTGTTGTTGAAAAACTCTTGCAAACTGCTGACAAGGAACATTTAGAATGTTTTGTCTGACTTTTTATGATGCGCTGGGACATTTTTCACTGTAACCAAGTTTTGTATTATTATTATTATTATCATATATATATATATATTGTTGTTGTTTATCATATTTATATATATTATAATATTATTCATATTTATTATTATAACATATTTATTATCATATCATACTTATTATTATTATTATTATTATTATTATTATTATTATTTTGTATTTATAACTTTTGTGTCTAAAATTATTTTTACTAAACATCCATACTCCAAAAATAAGTTATAAAAAATAGAAACTGACTGTTAGTCAGTCAATTAAAAACTCTCAGTTTAAAACTCTCTGTTAGTTCTGTTAGTTATTATGTTTTGTAGACATGTTATGACACAACAAATCTGATTTAAAAACAGTTCCCTTAAGTATACTTCTGCCTTAAAGCATGGTTTAATTCAGTGCTACAGTGTGAGTAAAACCGACAAACAGAGAGAGGAAAATGTACTTTTTACAGAATATTGCAGAGCAAACTTCAAACAGTGCTTTAAATGAAAGTAAAAATTACTCAATTAAAAAAAACAATGTTACATTTACATAAACGAGTTAAGCAAATCTGACTTGTACACAAAGAAATTCACATATGAAAACCTTGTAAAACCTCCAAAACAATATACTTTTTTGGTCCCACTTTATATTAAGTGTCCTTAACTATTTTGTACTTCATAATATAAATACAATGTACTTAATGTGTTTATAATGTACTGCAGAACACTTCTGAAGCTATTGAGGTGGGATAAGGTTAGGGAAAGGTTTGGTGGTATGGGTAGGTTTAAAAGTGAGTTAGGGTGTAAGGGACTGTCAAAGGTGTCATTAATTGCAAATGTAATTACATATAGCCAAGTATTGGTACAATGTAAAAACGTATTTACACTATGATCAAATTGAACCAAATTATTGGTTTCAGTGTGAGTACATACTAGTTAAGGCCACTTAATATAAATTCCTATGCAGATAAAGGGTGAGACTTTAGTACTGACCACTAATCATGGTCTAAGAATTTATATGTCAGCAATGGCTCTAATATTTAGTGTACAAAATTTTGATTTGATTATAAAATCTTCAGATTTAGTGCTGAACATGGCAGAAAAGAGGAAATTGCATGTTGTATTCCTAAAACTATTTTTCAGTTAATTGTGGGGGAAAAAAGAGGACCTTATACTTTAACATGAAACATAAAGCGGAAAAAGAATGGGGAAAAGGAAGAGCTACTCCACTCCTCAGAAATGGATTTACTTGAATGTGTTCATGAGGAATACCTCTCATGTGTATATAAGGAGACGTTTAGACCTCATTTAGAACACATCAGCTCTGAAATCTTCAAGCTCTCCAAAACATCTCCTGATTCCTTCTGTGATTGACAAGAAACGTCTAGAAGAATGAGAAGCCTGATGTTTCTGCTGGTTCTGGTGCTCTTCTGCTGTGTACAAGAGACTTCATGTGGTAAGTGCTCTTTTTTATTTTGAATATAATGTTCTCTGATTATTTTTATGGTCGGTTTTTATTTGTTGAATTTTGTCTTACAATATAGACAACAAGATGTTTTGTCTTTTTTAATGTACAGATTTCTGATATTGTGCATGTCTTCATATTTCAGCTCCAATTTCAATAAATTCAGCAAAATCAGTCTGCTGTAAAGGGATCACTCATATAAATATTCCTCTGAAGCAGATAATGTCTTACCAGTGGACCACCAGTACATGTCCTATAAAAGCCATTGTGTGAGTGTCATCTTAAACATTATTTCAAACTGTAAAGCCAACCTGAATATTTGAAACCTAAAATTGTCTTATTTCTACTTTTTGTTGTTTTTTCATTAGGTTTAAGACAATTGCAGGCAGAGAGATCTGTGTAGATCCTCAGAACACCTTGGTGAACGAACAAGTTGCTAAACTGGACAAAAGAAGATCATCTACTACAGCATTATCTCCTGAATCCACATCTACAATTGCAGAAACTCCAGCAGCCACATCTGCTACAGCATCTTCTTCTGAATTCACATCTGCAACATCCTCTCAAGCATCCACATCTGCTACAGCATCTTCTTCTGAATTCACATCTGCAACATCCTCTCAAGCATCCACATCTGCTACAGCATCTTCTTCTGAATTCACATCTGCAACATCCTCTCAAGCATCCACATCTGCTACAGCATCTTCTTCTGAATTCACATCTGCAACATCCTCTCAAGCATCCACATCTGCTACAGCATCTTCTTCTGAATTCACATCTGCAACATCCTCTCAAGCATCCACATCTGCTACAGCATTGTCTCATGAATCCACATCTGCAATATCATCTCCTGAATCCACTTCTGTTTCAAAATCATCTCCTGAATCCACATCTCCAAAATCACCTCCAGCATCCACATCTGCTACAGCATTATCTCCTGAATACACATCTGCGTCAACAGTAACCTTTACTACAGAGTCTCACAGCACCTCAGATCAATCTGCAGTTATTTGAAAACATTAATTTTTATATTGCATATTCACTCTATTTCTAATGTATATTTGAACGTCTAATATTTTAAAAATTTGTTAACGCTAAATGGAATTTTGTTCATCTGTTTTAATAAAACACAAGCAAGCATCATCATCTAGTGATGTAATTTCTTCTTTTCTGGATTTCCTGTAAGCATCTATTTCTTTAAACTGCATTTGCATGTTTTTTTCATTACACTTTATAAAAAGGCTGTTTTTAAATAGGAACAGGCACAACTATCTGACAGTTTTTTTTAGATTACAAACACTCTGCAGCACAGTAAAGACACTTGGGTTCAGACTACACAATTGTGTCTATTACAAATAGCTATCATATTTCATTCTATTAGTTTTGACTCCTAAATCCTAAATTATTGTTAGGTTACAGACAAGAAACTCATCACACCATAAAACAATAAATACAACAAAAAATAAACAGTTGCACTTGTGATTCACAGGTGTTTTCCATTTAAGCTTTTTACGTAGTTCATGACTTCTTTATTTTGGTCATTTTGAACAATATAATGTATAAGAAACATTATATATAGAAATAAATGCCTAAAATAACAGTACTAGTAACCTTATTCGATATTTGTACCCTAATATACATGACCAACCCAGACAATATCATTTCTAAAATATGAAACCTGTCAGTAAATGTTGCTGTGTTAAATTTTTGAACATCAAAAGTTGTCTAAGCAGTGGTCAAGGTCTCATAAATTAGTATGAAAAAATATATTCATTCATTTTCTTTTCGGCTTAGCCCTTTTATTAATCTGAGGTCGCCACAGCAGAATGAACCACCAACTTATTCAGCATATGAAGAGCATGCCCTTCCAGCTGCAACCCATCACCGGGTAAACATCCCTATACACTTATTCACACACATACTCTACGGCCAATTTAGCTTACCCAATTCACCTATACCACATGTCTTTGAACTTGTGGAGGAAACCCACACAAATAAGGGGAGAACATGCAAACTCCACACTGAAATACCAACTGACCCAGCCAAGGCTCGAACCAGTGACCTTCTTGGTATGAGGCTGGGTACTTTTGGCTAATTCTGGGTACTTTGATTTTAGCAGAATACATCTGGGAGAAAGGAAGGAACGAATGAAAGAACGAAAGAAAGAAAGAAAGAAAGAAAGAAAGAAAGAAAGAAAGAAAGAAAGAAATAAAGAAAGAAAGAAAAAAAAGAAAAAATAAGAAAGAAAGAATACTTTTGGAATTTTTAATAATATGTGTTACACTCTCAAAAAATTTGTTGAACTATTTTAATTTTTAAAAACATTTACAAATGTTTTTTTTAATGTTTACTTGTAGATACCAGTCACTGCAAAATGTGTGATGTTATCAAGAAGGCAAAACAATAGTAACTACTGATTACATTCTTTTTACAAATTTTGAATATAAAATTTAATTTAATAATTTTTATATTATATTAAAGTTGCCATGTGAACTTCCTAATTAAATAATATTATTAAATACATAGAAAAAATACTTTAATTGTATCAAAAATTATGTATATTTTACATTTTAAAATGTACTTCTTACAATAACCATTAACATAAACAATCTAACAAAAAAATCCCTTAATAGTGAAATATGTGTCCTAATAGTTTTTTTTTAGCAACATGCCACACATATATATCTCACAGCATCTAAAAAACATAATGTGTTTTAGAGTTTCATGACCCTTTAAAAATCTGGTTAATTCAGGTTTAATTGAAACATTTAATATATATCAGTTATCAGTTAATATCAGTTTTTTTTTTGTAGCTCAGCATTTAAACAAACAAACAAAAGGTTATGTAAATTTAGAAATGATAATCCCTGTTTGAGGGATTCGCCCCAACCTTCCCCATCATTTGTCCATGTCTTCTCATATTGGTTGGATAGGCTCCCTATGCCCTACTAGGCCAAAGTGTGCCAAAGGTCTAGTGTGCCAAAGTTGGCCAATGGTAACCTTTGATTTGGCCCCTATTTTGGGCATCTCTAATTTAGAGCATTTATTTTCAGACTATGACAGTGAAAAATAACAATAAAAACATATGTTTATAACAGTTTTTTTCAGTCACTTTGTTGCATTTCTCACAACACTATTTACATTTGCGCAAAAGTTAATGCATTTCTCAAAACAATTAGTGCAAACTGCAAAACCTAGCTGATAACCTGCCAAAGTGTGCCACTTGCTTAAAATGGATTGTTACTTCCTCAAAAGCAAGTATCCATGTCAATGAAAGTGTCAGTGTCATCAAAATGAAAAGTCCTGACATCATTGTTTATGAACAGGATAGTCAAATGACTGTCATGTTTTTATTATGATGTTAACTCTCTACATTTTTTATATGAGAAAAAGTACGATTTTGGTGACACGTCCTGAAAATGCTCAAGACAGCACTATATGCAACAGTTTTTCTCAGTCGCTTACTCGATTTGGTTCATTTCTCACAACACTATTTAAATTTGCACAACAGTTAATGCATTTCTCAAAACAATTAGTCCTTTGTGCACATCATAGTAGCAGTTTCTCATTCCTTCTAACAAATTGCAAATGCTTTTGAACATGCATCAGTTGCTTTTATACAACTCTCTGCTGTTTATAGCATTATCATTTGCTTATGTCATGTCAGTCAAAATGAACTAAACTTGTGAATGCTGAATAGTCATTCCATATAAATCTAATGCCGAGTTCAGACTGCGTGATTTTAGCCCCGATTTTGGCTCGCCGACAGGTTTTGAGAAATCGCCGACAAATGCCTGAAATCACAGGCAAATCGCTGCTCGTGCACGTGAGTGACAATCACACAATATGAACGATCAAAGACGCGATCTGAGAGAATCGCTGATGAGTCGCCGATGCCTGTGAGATATTTGGCGTGCTAAATATCTGGAGCTGTCGGCGATTCAAATTATGCCAAATTGAGTTTTGACTGAAAATAACATCAGCGATCGCCTACAGCCAATGAGAGAGCAGCTTTCACTTGCGTGTGCGTGTGTGTATACCTGCTGCAGGCCAGCGGGAGGCTGGGGGAGAAGTTAAAAGCGCTCTTTTTCGGTTTATTTGGACCCACGAAATGGAGGAAAAACTAGTGGAGGTTTGACAGGACTCAGGACCAACCGTGTCTGTTTGACGTTTCATACAGAAAGAAATTAGTTTATTATCAACGTTGAGGAGAAATGGCTAATTCCCTTTAAACCCAGGTGAGCAAACATGTACATGTTCTACCCCATTAAAGGCTTCTTTCTCATTGTGTAGTTAATAACAAAAGATATACTGTTACATGTTTTTGGCTGTGAGACGTAGTTTGGACGAAGTTGTCGGCGATTCTCCCTATAGTGAAGTCATGCAATGCAGTGTTCACAAAGCAGCGACGAAACGCTAGCCCAGATAGTCAAGCAGTGTGAAAACATCTGTGACTGTGACACGACTAGTTGGAAAACCATGAAGTCTGAACTCGGCTTAAGAGTCCTCCTTGACTCTTGAACCTTGAATTTACTTTGCACAATATTTCCTTCATAAAGAGGGTAAAATGTAAAATGCTGAGAGATTTATGACACAACACCATCACCTTCAGTCACGTCCTCTTTTCTTCTTATAAGTGCTCCATCTGAATTATCTGGGTTAAAGTTTTACTTTCAAGTTATTATTTGTTTTTCCTAAAACTTTAACAGGCGACAAGTAGTGTATAGACAAAATACAGTAAAGTAACTGTAATATAGAGTGGAGTCAGCTCTGCTGCTCATGAATGAACACGTCTCCTTTTAATATTTGCAGCTGTGAAAGTTAATACTGAGAAGTAAAACAGAAGTAGAACGCGGATGAGGGAAGGAAACAGCTCAAACCTGTCATAACGCTAATCCTCAGAAGAGCATTTACTTGAACAATAATAAACCTACTCAGTAGATCAGTAACAAAAGGTTATTCTGTGAAATAAATATATTTTCCACTGTCAAACTTTCAGATTGGTTTCTTTTCAAGTCAAGTTTATGTGAAATTAGAAGATTAGGGTGGCATGGTGGCTCAGTGGTTAGCACTGTCGCCTCACAGCAAGAAGGTCTCTGGTTTGAGTCCCTGCTACAATTGGATTCAATAAGTTGGCCGTAGTGTATGTGTGTGAATGAGAGTGTATGAGTGTTTCACAATACTGGGTTGCAGCTGGATGAGCGTCCGCTGCATAAAACATATGCTGGAATAGTTAGCGGTTCATTGAGCTGTGGCTGCCTCTGAAATAGAGACTAAGCTGAAAGAAAATGAATTAAATCTTGATTATTCACTCAATCTGTTTTGATTATTCACTCAAACTATTTAGAAAGTGCTAGTAAATTTAGCTAAATAATTACAAAAAAAGCTAATAAAAATGAATAAAATATTAAATTCCGAAGTAGAAAAACTCTATTTTAATAAGATAAATTTTACTACAGTTCAACTGAAAAGGAATAGATTCATTTAGACTATTACTTAGGGTATTTATCACTGAACACTGATTTACACACACAACTGTTGTTGTTATTATTAATTTATCAGTATTTATTCATCCTCCGTTTTTTCCTTATTCTCTCTTTACCAGGTAAAATTGTTATTATTTTATTATCAGTATTTTTTATTCATCTACAGCATGATTATTATCTCTATCATTGGTTTAGTTTAAATTTTAGAATAGTTTGGGAAATAAATTGCTCAATAATAATAATAAAAACCAAATGATAACAGCTACTCCCATATTTAATTGTCAATCATGAAACATTACAACCAATATCTCGACAGCTGGCTCTCTCATGGTCATCCACTAAAGCTAAGCAGGACTGCGCCTGGTCAGAACCAGGATGGGAAACCACATGGCAAAGCTAGGTTGCTGCTAAAAGTGGTGTTAATGAGACGTGTATGTACAATTAGTGTTTTTCAGCCAATGAAAAACTTCCGAAAGCTTTATGTGACTATTTTTCAATTTCACTTGATTCCTTTTACAGCATTGATGATGTAATATAATTCAAATATAATTAGTTAAATAGACTTAAGCATCCATTTGGTTGTTAAAGCATAAGAGGCAGGGCATCATCATTAGCAGCAGGCTATAGCGCAAAAACTTCATTCAAAATAAGGGAGATAAAATGATTAAATTATTATTCTTAAATTATTAAATTTTCATATTTTAAAGACATGGCATGGAAATATATCATTTAATGCAGTGCGTCTTGTTTGCGTGATGCATGAGGCCAGCAAACACAATGTAGCTTTCAGTTAAGATGAACACAGTTTCTATTAAATTATAAATTTATACTTTAAAGGTAAAGGTCTAGGGCTCTGCATATTATAACTTTATAGCATATTATTCAATTCAATTCAGCTTTATTTGTATAGCGCTTTTACAATGTAGATTGTGTCAAAGCAGCTTCACATAAATGGTCATAGTAACTGGAACAGTGTGGTTCAGTAACTGGAACAGTGTGGTTCAGTAACTGGAACAGTGTGGTTCAGGTTTTAGTGTTTAAGTTCAGTTCAGTTCAGTTTAGCTCAGTTCAGTGTGATTTAATCATTACTGAGAGTTCAAACACTGAAGAGCCAATTCATCGATGCGTAGCTCTACCAATCCTGAACCATGCGAGGCAGTGGCGACAGCGGAGAGGGAAAAAAAAACTTCACCTGATGGGAGTGAAGAAAAAAAACCTTGAGAGAACCAGACTCAGTTGGGCACGACCATTTTAATTTCTCCGCTATATAAGTTTATAGTCGTTTCACTTTACTTCAGGACGCATTAATGCCGCACTGTAGGTGCACATTATGACATACATAAAAATTCCTAGCAACTCTAATAAACGTTGGAGACATACTTGTTACATAAATGCACTAAATTACAATTCTGCAGTGTTTATTTGAGAGCGCACCTCAAAATGCATCTGAGCAGCATATATTTGAGGGTGTGCAAGAAGTTTTGTGCACAAACAGAGGAAATCGGCATGCAAGCAAGAAGATTCACATGCTCATATTACATAAATGCGATCTCGACTTGTAATACTGCACTCACAACATTTGTCATTGAAATAACGCCATAGGTAGTTGGTAGATCTGTGTAAAAAAGGCCTGCCTCAACAGCTCAAAAAAATCCTAGAGGAAACACTGCACTTTATATCTTATCTCAGCCTGGCAGTTATGAGCACTGTTTTTTTAAGAAATCAGATCTTAAACACAGTGATTTTGTATGGGATGACAATTAACTGGAAATTAAAAGTCCGTGTGCATATACCCCATTAGTATGCAAGTGACTGTGGTCGTGGTGCTTGAGGTGATTGTGAGTGGGAAGAACCTGGCCTGGCTGTGACAATCTCCTGTTTCACTGAAGAAATTCCCACATGTTTAGAATGAGATAAGTCAGTTAACGGTGACAGAATTAATTCTCTTTTGGACCATTTTTAATTAATCCTTGTACCCTATAGACGTTTTTGTCTTTTTTTTTATATCATAGTTTTACTCTTTTGGCCATTACTGCAAACTTTTTGGCATAAGTAGATTTTTTATTATTGATTTGTTGATTTATTGATCAAATTTGGCCATTTTTCCTATCATAAACCTGTTTAGCAGTTTGGAACAAAGGGTCTAAAAAATTTTTTTTGAATGAATATTGGCATTCATTTTACTAGTCAGATCTACAGTACAATACAGTATAGCTTTAGATGTATTGCAATTTTATGAGCAAATGTGGTCCTTCATCTTGATGTTGGATAACTTTAGCACTTTATTAAGCAAAAAATTAGCTTGGTTTGGTTTGTCTCTTGATCAGAGAGTTCACATTAATTGATGTTCAGGGGTCCGTTCTTCGTACCTCGCTTAAATGATCTAAGATGATTTGGCAGATCCTGGATCTTTTCATCTCGATAACTGATCTCTGGCAAATTTGGTTCTTCAAACAAGTTCGTGAATCAGATTAGAATGTCTGGATAAACTGATCTGAGATCGCTGCATGTGTTGTGGAGGACATATCTATCGATCCTCGAAATCATGATCAGCAATGCAGCAATTGCTGATGGCACAGCAGCGTAATGACATCATCTGATTAATATTCAATTATCCATGTGAGCAAAATTATTTCAAATTAGCAGTAAACGGTTTGTTAAATATGACACGTAACTCTCCACATTTGTTATGAGCTGCAGGCTTTAAACTGTCATGTATCAAGAGTATTCATCATGTACAGTATTTCAATATCATTGTATTTAGTTCTACATTTAGAAAAGATTTTCTTTATTAGTAGCCGTTTTTTTAATCTGTGAATAAAGAAGCATTAAATCGCTGTCATATTAACTGTCAAAACATGTTTGACTCCTTAAATGTTTTATTGCTTTTAAAATAAGTCACATATTGTGCATTTCTATTATACACAATTTATACTAAAGCGATCTAAAAAGTTCATATCAGTAAGTTTTCTCTTTGCACCACCAGGTGGCCGTCTTTGTACTTTCATTTCGAGTGTGCAGATTGCATAAGTTTTATTAATATGTATAACTTTATTTATTTTATTAATAACTATAACTTTATATAGGCTATATAGTTTAAAAATATGTACCATTTTCCCAAGTATATATAACTACTACTGTAAGAAAATATCAGAAATTGGAACATACTTTCTGTATTATCTTTCTGTATTATCTTTGCTTGAACTGAGCCGATCTAATCCTGTTTATGTGAATTGAACCTGCTCCCGATCAGGTTTGACCTAGCAGATCTGTTGCTATGACAACAACTCGGATCAACTTTGAAGAACGAAACGATCCTGGATCGTGTCAAATCATCAGTATCCAAATCCAGCTAACTGAGTAATCCACGTACGAAGAACGGACCCCTGTAGGCTTACACACAATAACTCTCCACATTTGTTATGAGCTGCAGGCTTTAAACTGTCATGTGTCAAGAGTATTCATCATGTATTTCAATGCATATCATTGTATTTAGTTCTACATTTAGAAAATATTTTCTTTATTATAGTAGCCGTTTTTTAATCGATGTAAAGAATAACTGGTTGTTTACAAAAGCATTGATATTGGTAAAGGCGTCTGCAATTTTTGTGAAGCATCAAATCACTGGCATATTAACTGCCAAAACAGGTGACTATAAATGTATTATTGCTTTTAAAAAAGGTCACATATTGTGCATTTCTATTTTACACAATTTGTACTAATGCGATCTAAAAAGTTAATGTGACGGCCTGTCATATGGCCACACAAGACTAAGGGTAACAAACACACGCACACTCATTCGTTCAGACACACACACGCACATTTGTTCACACACACACAAACACACACACTTGCATTCGCTCAGACGCGCACGCTTACACATACACGCACGTTCGCTCAGACCCAAACAATACTCATGCTCCTTCACCAGTTGCGGTTTAAGATTGGGGGCACGTAATATATAAAATATAGTATTTAAGCAATGTATAAAAGGTTATTTTTTAAAGAAATATAAATATATTTTTACATAAAATGCACAAAAATATTAAATAAGTACACACAAGACAAAATAAGAGTGGGCCTATGTAATATATAAGTGCTACTTTGAAAGGCTACATATTAACACACAAAAATTAAATAAAATGAGGGAAAGAGAGAGTACCCATGTAACATTTACAAATATATATACAGCAATTTGTACTTTATTCTGGAGCTGGAGTTTGTCCTTTATTTTGCTGGCGCTGTTCTGCCAACCAGTCCTCTAAGGATTTGCCATTTGAAGTTTGCAGACAAAATGTGGCATTACCAAATCGGCTATGGCCAAACTCCTTAGTCTTGGGTTGCCCACATTTGCTGCAAACATTAAAAGTAACCGCACGCACATACTTCCTTTTGTGGACTCCACTTTCCTTCTCCTGTTCCCGTCTGCGCCTGCTCCTCTGGGTGTAACGGGACACAGGAACAGCAGGCCGGGTGGAGCAGGTGCAGGTGGAGGAACAGCAGGTGCAGGTGGAGCAGGTGCAGGTGGAGGAACAGCAGGTGCAGGTGAAGCTGGGACTGCACTGGATGTTGGTGCAGCAAATGATGGAATCACCATTGACACACTCATGTCTGGGTTAAAAACAAGTGTGCCAAACAATGATCCAGGTCCTGAAATGGGCTGCACAACACCTGGTGCTGTGGGGGGTGGTGCAATGGGGCACACCGTGCTGGGGGCCGGTGGAAAGGAGCACACCGTGGTGGGGGCAGACACAATGGTGCGCACTGTGGTGGGGGCCGGCGCAATAGGGCGCACTGTGGTGGAGGCTGGTATGATGGGGCACACTGTGGTGGAGGCTGGCGAGATGGGGCGCACTGTGGTGAAGGTCGGTGTGACGGGGCACACCATGGTAGGGGCCGGTGCAATGTGGCAGACTGTGGTGGGGGTTGGCGCGATGGGATAGCATACCGTCGTGGGGGCCGGTGGGAAGGAGCACACCGTGGTGGCATCTGGCAGGAAAGAGCAAACTGTGGTGGTTGCTGAAGCAGACTTTCGTCCAGGTCGAAGAAGAGGTGCCTGTCCTTCTTTATTTGGAGGAAAGACAAACTGGTGTTTGGGGCCTGATGTTGATGGTGCCTCGTCCAATTTTTCCCTCGGCAAAGGAAGCTGCGTATCTGCCACAGCAATTGGATCAAGTGGAGTCAGTCCCTGAGTGAGTACACTCATTTCCTGATCCTTTTGCCTCCGTTGAAACCTGATAATAAATGATATGTATTATTCATATATATTAATTTAGAAATATTCAGGTAATTTAAAGAAAATAATGTGCTTTGCTTACCACTGAATGAGCGTCTTCTAGTTTAGCTCAAAAACCTGGATCACCGTTTCATCCATCAGCCTGCGACTGCCAAGCACCAGATCCCGGATGTGGTGGTAATCGGTCAGTATTTTAGACCACCTGGGGGTGCGAACACCAGCCTTCTTGGAAGTGGACTTGTGTACGGCACACAGCTTTGTACAAATGGCCTCAACCAAGCGGCTGGTGCTAGGCCACTGTGCTGGACCCCCAGGATGTCCAATCAGACAACGTTTGACGCTCTCCACACCTGGAGTGACTCCGGAGCGCTTTGGTGCCTTAAAGCGCCCATGCGTCAGCTGAGGCTGATGTCGAGGCTGGTAGTTGATGCGCTGTTTATCAACATCCAGGAGAGCTGTCCACAGCTGGATGGCCTCTGTCACCTGCAGGTCAGTGAGGTAAGGAGCCTCACGAAGACCTACCAAATAAGCAGCCAGATCCTGGACCTTGTCCCACCCAGCAATGCCATCAGGTCCAATGACTACTCCCTGGTAAATACAGAATAAATTTAGTATATGTGGAATAAAAAAAGACTAAATCAAATTAAGTTCTTAATGTATCTTACCTGAGCCTCAACAGAGAGACTGTCTCCAGAGTCGGATGGCTGTGACGGCACTGAGGGGGCTCGGCTAGGAAGCTGTCCTTCTCCACCAGCTGATGTGGACGGCTCAGCCAGTGATGCTGGGGACTGAGGCAGAGGCGAAGATGAGGGGCTGTTTCTGAGATCACGGCAGGGGTCATCCTCATACAGCACTGGAACTGTGATGTCCTCCATGATCTCCTCCTCAAACCCCTCATCTTGTAGATCCTCGTCATCTACTTCCTCCACCAGCCTGTCTTCCTCCTCTGGGTTCTGGAGCACCGGAGTCAGGGTTTTGCCGGTCTGGCTGTAAAGGTACTCTATTCCCAGCAATTCACCTTAAAGAATAAAACAATTAAAAAAAAACATATATTAAATAAAACTAATAATAAAGTCAATATTTAGATAAACATTTTGTGAAGTACATTAAAGCTTAATAAATCACTTATATAACAACTAGTTAATGAATTTCTTGCCTGTATATGCTCCAGGAGGGTGATAACGGTTATCCCAGGGCTTCCCTAAGACTGCTCGGCTAAGCCTGTCCACAGCCTCTCTCATGGCACTGCCATATGACCGTATGGAGGATGCTCCTTTTATGGTGCTTTCCATCCGGTCATCATTCCAGCGCATCAAGCCCTCAAGGAGATAGGCCTGAAAATGCGCATCACTGGCACTGGTCCCTGGAAATTAAAATAGTTAAAAATATGCGAAGAATTAATTAACATGTTATTAGGTTATGTACTAACATTAAAATTATTGTCATTATAAACAGAGTTACTTGTCAGGCAAGACAGCTTTGTCAATGCTGATAACATCACAAATGTTATTTAAATGTTTAATAATGTTACATTAAAGCAATGGAAGTTATCACAGTGCTTATATGTTTTACAAAATAAAACAATCCAAATGTATGTAATACCTGGAATAAAACGGTTTAGGTGGAGGTGGAAGGACTCCAAAGATGTAGAGCCACGGGCACACCTGTAACAACACAGCTCCACACTGCCTTTCTTCAGTGTCCCTGTCTTCATGTACAGTGGAAAGTTCTCTGGGTCTTGAATGCACTGTACATGCTTCTGCTGTTCCTTCCATATCTGCTGGATCCGTTCGTGGTCCAGCAGAGGAACACCCAGAGTGTCCTTCCCATGCTCGCTGTCAAAATGGTCCAACAGCTTTCCAATCAGACAGGTGGTCTCCTCCACACCTCTGGTCCTCCTATGGCAGTGCAGTGCTAGCTCCCTCCGGTTTATGCGAGCACTGAGAGCCGTTTGTGAAATGTGGCCAGTCTTTTTTGCCGCCAGCTCACCTTCCTTTGCCTGGCGAAGAGCGGCCACATCTTCTGGATCCCACTGAAAGATGCACGTGGACAGACGTGCCATGAAGATGCCGTAGAGCGGATGAGCTTCTGTCGTGACACCTGCAGCAAACCGGCGCATAAAATGCCAGATGTCAAGGCGCACTTCAAGCTCATCCCACTCCCGAAACATGATCTTCACCGGAGACTGGCCGTGCTGACTGCAGCAATCTCTGTCCACGTACATTACTTTCGGGGCTGCCTCTCCTGCCTCCCGGTAACGCTTCATCAGCCCGGCCGCCATTGGGTCCAGTCCATGACCCTCGGCAGCTGACAGCACAGAGACAAGGACTTGACCGTGTTCGTTCCCCACATTAGTGCACCAGGCAGCTGTTCCCGCAGCAGCACCTGCAAGTTTCTTTGTGATCTATTAGGAAAAATAAAACTGTGTTAAATATGTACGCACACATATCCATATCTGGCAAATGTCTGGATATAAACATACCTTTTTTGTGGAGTCCATCTTTAGAACACAGCCAAAGACGGAGGTGATTTTGGCTTTGACCTCGTGCAGTCGCCCCAGAACATCCCTGGCATAGACGGCTAACAGCCACTTAGGTTTGGGTATGGCAGGTAAGAGGGGAGGCTCAGCAAACACAGGAGGTTGCACAAGGGAGGACCTTGTGAATGGTTCACAGGCAGTCAGGTACTGCAAGACTCGCTGTGTCCATGCCTCACTGTGTTGCTCCATCAGCTTTTTGAAAAGCTGAGTCACACTGTTGCCCAGTGTCCTCTCCCTCATCATCCTAACTACCCGGTTGTCACATGAGTATCTAAGGAAACAACATTATAATCAGGGAAATGCTTTGTTTGCTAAAAATTAACACAATTAAAATATTGGCATTATGAATTACCTGTATGTCAGCAAAGCTGGGAACTGACTACGGTGGCCAATATCCAGCTGTCCTAAGATGTCCTCGGACCAGGCAGGATACTTCTTTTTGCACCGCTTGCACTCCAGATACTCAGTGGCAAGGTCGTACCAGCCGTCGATGTCGAGGACCTTGCGCACCGTGCGGTAAATTCCAGCAGCTGTTAGTCTGTGCTTACCACAGCTTAGGCGAACACAGACAAGTGGAAACAACCACATCTTCAGCGGCATCCACAGAAAAAGTGGTCGGCAGAAGAAGAGGTCAGGAGAGGCAGGTGGCTGCGTGTTAATTAGAGGGGGCTGGGGAGGATACCACCAAAGCTTCAGCTGGGACACTAGCTCTGGCTTGCCGGTTTTTAAGTTTGTTTTAAATACCGTGTTCCGGATCCACTCATGCTGGAAAGGGGGAAGCTGATCTTTCCAGTGAACAGGAAGCTCAACTGGTGGCTGATGATGTTGAAGATCTGGTGTTTTTGCTGTTTCCGTTGATGGAGACGGATTGGCACAGGCCTCTGAGTGAATAGTAACAAACAATTTATGGTTAACAATATTATGATGACTGTTGCTTTTGATAGTAAGGTGCCACAAATTATGCCCATGAACAGCCAGTGAAGCAATAGTTTTGGATAAGTATTATTATTAATATGGGTATACTTAGAAATACAAGTTAAGAGAATGGTACTGTTAGAAAGCAAAGAAATTAGTGTGCACTTTATTGATGAAAGGGATATGGAATTAATACAATTCTCTGCGAATGAGAATCATATGAAATGGAGTAAGTAAAATGAGGCATGATTAGTATAAATTATTGAAGCACAAAGACATGAAGCATGCACACAGATACAGTAAGGAAAAACTGCTCAGCTGATAATGACAGCAATGAATCACCACCATCTAAGAGAGTGAGTGAGAAGAGCAAGCGACGTGGAAAAGTTATCTGATGAATGTTCAATAATGATTAGTTCGGAAACGCAAATAAATACACTGAAACCTTTGAACATCCTTAAGGTTTTGAAGAAGTGCACTCAAAGAATGCATCCCGCTTGAGGCATGATGTGACAACTCTGTACTGTAGATAAAAATTTGATTCATTATTTTTTGTAAAAAAAAATACTTAGTGTGTTTTCACAAAATATTGTTATAACATTTTCATTTGTGTCGTGTGCCACACCTGCAAAGAGCTGTGCTTCACATTGTGATGCAGCAAACACCAGTTCTTCATCATCTTCAGCTGTGGATCTGGAAGTGCCTGGAGCATAAATCTTATATTTACAATATTACTGTGAAAAATACACACAGCCAAATGTACAATACGATGGTGCTTACTTACCAGTAGTAAAAAGCTGCCTTTGGGCCATACGTTTGGCTGGGGGTTCTGCTGTAGGAGGAGATACAGTGGACTGCAGTTTTGGATCTGGAAACAGAAAGTTTGACATAACAATAAATAAACACATATATAACTGCTGTTGGGATAATTCTGTATCATGCTCAGTATTCACTCTCCTACTTACAGGGTTTAACAGGTGACATCAGTTTTTTTGCCAGCTGTGAAGGAGACAAGTGCTTGCCCCTTGCCAACAGCGATTTCACAGAGGCAGTCTGCTGTACACCTGTTTGGATGGCTGCAGGTGGAGGAGCAGGGACACTGGATGCTGCAGGTGGAGGTGCAGAGACACTGGATGCTGCAGGTGGAGGTGCAGAGGCAGCAGCAGAAGCCAGTCTTTTCAGGACATACGTCTTGAAAAGTGCCATGTTGGTTTTTGGCCTGGCATCTGCCTTAACCAGGTACCTGATGAGGGCTTGGGCCTCCTTGCTCTGGTCCTCAAACACATCTTTCATGGACCGGCCCTTAAAGTCACCAAACTCCACCATCAAGCACCCTGTATCTCCTTTTGCCCTGGCTTCTGCTTGCATTTCCTGTTTCCTCTGGTACTTCTCTACTTCTTCTGCAATCTCCCTGATGGAGGAAGTGTACTGAAGAAACAGGTGTTTGTTTTCTGACAAGGGTGTTGTCTGCAGCTTCTCATCAGAAATGCTAAGCACCAGGTACACCGCATACCCCAGAGCATGCTCTAGGAGCCATCTAAATCTTTGGCCCTGGTACTTGCCAAACTGAATCTTGCAGTGAGCCAGAACTAAAAACTGGTCACTGGAGTCTCCACCATTGCTGCTGACGAAAGCAGTGGCCTCTGCCAGCACCTCTTCCTTGGGTTTGGCCCTTCCAGACTCCCTGCTTACAAGGCGCTCTGCCTCTGCAGATGGCCCCAAGAGGAGTCTGCTTGATGTCGCTGATTGGCGGCGGAAAATCGGGTATGCATACATTTTTCTGAAAAAAAAAAAAACATTAGAGAGAACATTACCTAGAGCAATCAGAAAGATACATTTACATTAAGTGTGAAACAATAATTTAACAAGGTAGATAATCCATATTATTGCAGTAGTAAATATGACCATGACCATAAAATGGACTTCTGGTGAATTTTCTACACATATGCCTAATATATGCATGGTAGTACAACTTAAAATCCATATAAATAAATGAGAAACAACAGAAATTAAAACATTAAGTTATAATATACACATTTAACTCTTAAGTCTTTACATTATGACTTTTATAAATAAAATGTTTGTACTTCAGCTATTTAATATAACTATTCTGTTGTGTAATATATCTGAAAACACAAGTAATAAAATAAACAAAATACAATATATGCTTATAATATTTTTACAATTGAATTATAAAATACAATACAATCTAATTACTAAATATATATCATATATTGTCATAAACAAGTGTTAAACTCAAATGTTTTTAAAGTTTGTGCAGTCGTCTTTATAAATATAACTTTGTTTTACCTAAAATAGAATTATTTTAAAATTATAGAATTATTTGCTAAATTAAATGTTTAAGAAAAAACTGTTTAACTCTGTATTTCATGCAATTACATTATAAGTAACTGTAACTGTACATTTAAGTACAGTAACGTTAACTTTTTAGAGTGTACACCGCGATTATAGGGCCCAATATTGCTAGGTCGAAGGGGGGCATTATTATTCTGAACAAATATCAGAACATTTTGTTTAATCATTTAACCAAATGGCGATGATTCCAC